CTTCAAGGTTACAGATACGCCTTGCTGACGAGTGCCAACTAGCACGAAACCTAGGTACACAGCTTCCTACCGATTGGAAACATTTATTTCCCAATACGAATTTAAAACAAGCAATAAAGGTTAATAAAGCAGGATTTAATGAATTCATCAAATTTTGGTAGAACTCGTCAGCTGATTGCCTCCAACCATCTTATAATTATTTGCCTATTATATATCGTCTTTTTAATTAAAACTGCCTTTACCATAGTATCTCCACTTCTTACAGCTTATACGAATCATATTCTGAGAATCTTTCCTAACACTAATATTATGAAAATTAGAGCGTGTTTCTATATATTTGTATATATGCAGATTTCTGTTACTTCAATTAGTTTATCTTATTGGAAATAACTAACAATTATATTATTTGAAGAATGAAAGTATGTGTCTGCAATCTTGAAGAGTCTTATGTTATTTCCCTTCCTTTTACTGCATAAAACAACACTGATTGATACTTATGTGAATTTAAGGCTCCATAAAAAATATCTACAAATATTTGAAGTACTTTTGCACTTGAACGTTTATCTTTTCCATTTTGCTATTCGAAATACTGAAAGGTAGACTGATTGAAAACAAAAAAAGAAACTTTCTTCTAAATGAATAAATATATGTGCTAACATCTAAAATCTCTTCTCTTTTTTTTCCTTGTCAATAACAGAGTTATGCCTCTAAGGTTATAACTATTTAGTATAGCAAAGACGCAGACATCCCATTTTTTAGCCCGTTTTGTTGGCTAAAGTAAAACATGATTTATATTGAATTAAACAGTAGTTTATCTCAAATATTGGTGAATGACGCCGAAATGTATCAAACATTTAAACAAAACAAAAAACGAATGTCTAAATGATAGGAATTATGTTCCAGTCTTTTGATCTTTATCTACAGGATTTGAGAACAGCAACAACAACCTGCATTATTTCATTTTAATTTGCTACAACGAACATATAAGGCTAACAAAAATATGCTTAACTAGATGTCGCCGTTACAAATGGCATTGTGTTGATTATGATAATATGAGCATCACTTTTCTCTCTACTTTAAATAATCATTTTCAACAGAAATGCAATGGATAAGTAGAACTCATAAAAGCTTATATTAAAGTATTAAATAGTGCGTAAATTTGTATTAAATATTTCTAGATCAGTGCGTTGATGTTCTTGTAAAATCCCATTCTTGTCTTAACCGACGCGTTATGGTCTGAATGCAGGAGACCAATCTATGCGTTCTCCTGTATAACTAGCCTGAACTTCCTTGAGTTACGCGAAGTCAAAAAAGCCCTCAACGACAACAATAAGATAGTTATTTTGAATGAAATCTACTGTACTGTTTGACAATAACAAAATCAAAAACTGAAAATCACCTCAACAGTGCCGTTAGGCAGGTATACAGAACATATAAGTTTCTAGTAGAAAACAGGTACTGTAGAAGGAAGTTATTTAACCAAGATTCAACCGTAATAAGCACCTTAGAATCAAAAAGAATATTCCCAACAAGGCGGGATCAAAACTCTATCAGCAAGAATCACACACAGTCTAAGGTTGGATTGACCCTGAAACACTAAAACAAAATCCCATCGTAAAACAACACATCACTGTACAACACAGGCACAAAGAGAAGCATTAAAACGTGAGATTAAACATGTACAAAGACAAATAATAATAAGAACTAAGTAAAGAGGTGACATGCAACGAGTACGGCAATGATATATAGCCTTGAAGAAAAAAGGGAAATAATTAAAAAGTTAGTTAAAACATCCAAGGAAGTGTCAATATTGTAATTAGATCGTTCAGAAGGGATTTTTCAAATAGTTATTCCGTTACAGTACCATAGACTGATAAAATAATTGATGAAGTAATTCACTTTGACGATATATATTTGGGTTGGTATTTCTTCTTTGTTTGAACTTGCTTTTAAGTATTCATTTCAAGTGAGAAACACAGAAAAGCACAAGTTCATAAAATCAACAAGTAAAAGATTAGAGTCATTTTAATAACCTCAAAATACTCCAATGAGGAAGCCTTTGAGGATTTTACTTTCTGAAATACACTGAATCAAATTGATAGTAGTAAAACGAAGGAAAAAGAATGACAGTCAGCAGTTTTGTAACATTTATTTAATCAATTCTCGCCGAAAAAATTGACTAGTAGTCGCACTATATTATGAATCTGCAAAAGTTGGAATTCACGGACCCTTGGATCGGGTCCAAGTGGCTTAATGATCTATGAGCTCACGTTGTAGCCAGAAGCTTCCAAGTTCAAACCCGGTGTGTGCGTACTACTGAAGAGCCCCAAGCTGGGACGCAACAGCCGTCGAGTTCTCTTAGTTTTTCCGATGGTTCTCTAACCAATGTCAGTCATGAGTAATCCTGTAATCAATAATTATGAATAAGGAACATAAATTGGATTTTAATAATATTTGGTACAACATTGAGCAACTTCTTTATGAACACTTCTCTAACCTGGAGAACTTATTTATTTTATTCATAATTAGTAAAAGTAGTGGAGATAGAATTTATGCCATGTATTATGCTTTCAGCTTAAATGCCTTTATTGCATCTTTATGGATACAGATGGTGTATACTTTAAGTCTTTGCGTAGTTACAGACGTTTTAAATTCAAGTATAGCATCATTTATGCTAAAAGGCATATCTTCTCTTGCATTTTCTTAAGTGTCAGTTGTATGTTACATTTTATCTTCAAAAAGCGAAGGGAAAGTTAAGAATTGAGACATATTTCATTGTTTCTTGTCTACTTTATCCATGTAAAGTCTAGTCAGTAAAGGTTGAGGTGAATCACTACTTAATAATGATATCTTGGCTTCATTGCTTCTTATAACCTGATTTATGACCAAGATTTACCCTACCTGATATTGATAAGGTATATAATTTGCCTGAAGTGTGAGAGTAAATAGAGAAGGATTTGTTTGAATTTATCCAGCTTTTCTCAAACTTTTTATATTCAGACAATGCATAATCTGAAAAGACTTCGTAAAAACATACTAGATTACTAAGGTCTTGTATTCAGTCACTCATCTGCATTTGGATAATTTAATAAAGTTTACAGATTGACACCGCCTTTTCCCCTCCAATAATTCTTGAATCTTATGTTCACTGTGGTTATTATGCTGAGGCATTTCTTTCGACTGAGTGCATAGTCTGCTAATTGCACACCATCCAGTTAAAATCATTAGACTATCTGACCCTCAGAGGGTCAAATCAGTTAAATTTACTCAATTATACTTTGTTTTAACTATTTATTCGCGTCCTCGGGGAATAATCTTCAATCACGCGCAGTTTTGAATGACTTTCAGCATGTCTCTTAGTCCGCTTTAAAGGGACAAGTATGGCCGGAGTTGACGCATAATCCAGATCGAACGAAATTCCGTCTAATGATTTACTGTAGATTACTTTTTTACCTGGTGGTTCTTTATGTAGAGTAGATAAGAACACGCTGATAATTCTTTACTGTATATAAACATATTCAGAATAAAGCTATTATTATTATTGCTCTCAGACAAGCATAACTTAATTCAAGACGTTTCTCTGGGTTCCGTCAATCACTAATAACGGGATTCAATTACCAGATTCTGTGATAAGCAAAGTAGCGGTACTAACAGAAAAAATCCTATCTTATTTTGGGTTGATCAAGTTTTACTTGATATCGCAGAATGATAAAAGCTGATAATCAAAGCAATCAAGGAAGGCACCATTCGGTTTTATTTGTTTGACATACTAACTTATATGTATATATATATATGATGAATACCGAACTCGTTAAAGACTATTTCACGTGTTTTGATTCAAAATATTTAAGTATCATCATAAAATATGAAATAATTCCATTTGACTTTTGTTAATTATCATCTTTTACTAAATTAACAAATATCTTATGTGATAGAACCTGCTTGTATTTTGTTTAGAGAAGTTTATCGTTCTCATAATGTATCCCAATTTATTTAAGGTTGAGTATATATAAGAAAGATTTAGTTATTTTTATTAATAAATCTTAACGTTTCTTTTCATTTTACTATTGTTGTAAATTTGTTATCATAAAGAAATCGTATTTATAAATGGACATAGTGATTATATAGTGATCATATGATGCATACTATTGCTATTTATAAATAGCTCTTTTTACATACACATTCTACTTTTCTACGAATGAGCAATTAGTTTGCAGTTGAGCATTAATCATCAATTTGGTTTTGAATTCATTTATTCCATTAAGGAAATTTGTTACAGTAAAATAATCTAACTCAAAACTACATTAAATTCTAATCAGTTAACGATTAAAATGTACTCACGTGTAAACAAATTTTGAAATGGATTTTTCTAATTCTCTGACAGAACATTTTCAACATTCCCGCTAAATTTAGTAGAAAGCATTTAAACAATAGTTAATCTACATCTTATCTTAGTGTTTTACTCTAAATATAATAAACCCTAAAGTACAAAATTAAGTTTCAATGTAAGATATACATATTACTTTTAATAAGAAATGATATTTGTTAAATTTTGTATGTCTCTTCTTTTGTGTATTAACATGGAACGTCAGTCCAACTGAATTCCTAATAAATAAGAGTTTGGTTACTTGAATTCATTTTGTCACACGGTTGATGAACATCACTCACATAAGCTTTTTTAAGCTTTTTTCACCAGAGTCGATGATATTTAAATCTACATTGGATAAAATTCTAAACATATTTCACAGAAAATATTTTACAGTCAACTTTTTCACTTTAATTTATGAAAGAATTATGAGGTTTACGTTAAATTATTTACAGCACAGGACTGCATCCGGTAAAAAGGTGGTTGCATATTAAGTTATACTATTTAGCAATAGAATGCATGAGTAAAATATAAGAGAAACTTTGTTTAGTAAAGTAAGCGTTCCAATGTAAATTCATTTTTTATAGAAGCGAAATGACTTAATCATTTCATTTTCTTTCTTTTTCTTCTATAGAGGCACAATTCGAATTCGGGTCGTCGATGACAATAATTATGAGAAGTCAGAGTACTTTTACTTACAACTTGGAGAACCAATCCTTGTGGACAAAGATGGTAGGTTTAAATATTCATAATAGTAATGTTCGAAGCAACAGTTTGATATTTTAACAACAGAAGCATATATTAATCAGCCATTACGATCAGCAGAACTATACCCAAATTTCTATTGAGTCATATAAAAGAAAAGGCTTTCAATGAAAAGAGTTACTCTTTTTGGCAATACCATTTTCAAGCTGTACAATCACAAATATGTGGTCAATTCTCTTAGCAACAAAAGGAATATTTCCAAAGATTTGTCATTAGAATTGGAAATTTTAGATGACAAATTTCGTTAGTTGGTTAGAAACTAAAATAAGATTAAATAAGCAAGTTGAGTGGCGTAAACTAGTTGACGGGATTGAGTAGAGCTCAACTAAAATTAAAATTGGACAAAAGTCAAGTTAACAACATTGGCAATAAGGGGTAGAGATTTAATGAAAGGTGGGAAAAGAAAATATTATACAACTAAGAAACAAACAAGCAAGAAAAAGACGCAAGAAAATTAACGTATTTGGTGTTAAGATAGGTCAGGTCCACTGTGGATTTAATGACTGAACAAAAAAAACTTCCAAAAAACCTCTCTACCTGAATCTACAATTCAATAGAGACTCATCGGCAGAAATACTGAGAAACCGCCTGTCCCGCTCACTGAAGAAAGGCTTATTCGCGACTGAACTCCAACTAACCTTCTCTACGAAACCAATGATTCTCATGAATGTGAAGGATAAGCTACCACTGTTGGCCTCATCAATGTACATCTACCAATTCGCCTTCTCGTGTTCAATTTTAGTTGGGCTCTACTCAACGCCGTAAATTAGGTTACGTCACTCAACTTGTTTATTTAATCTTATTTTATGTTTCTAACCCATTAACGAAATTTGTTATCTAGAATTTACAATTGTAATAATTTTATTTCAGTTTCTACCGGGTTAACGTTTCCTACATCACACAGTTTGTTGTCTAAAATTTACAATTCTAATGACAAATCTTTGGAAATATTCATTTTGTTGCTAAGATAATTGACTACATATTTGCGATTGTACAGCTTGAGAATGATATCATCGAAAAGAGTAACTCTTTTCGCTGAAAGCCTTTTCTTTTACAACACTCATATTTACTTCGATTTTTTAAACTAATCTTAAAATTTTGTTGCTATAATGTTTTGGATTTTGGATTCTATGAAAAGATGGTTAGATAAAACATACTTTTTATAAATATACCCCAGTTTTTCCTCGGTGAAGCTCAATGTATTTGAAAAATCATAAATCTTGTAATGGTTTTTGTCAATTTTTCAAATGCTTTTCGTTATTTTGTTTTGTCAATCTTGATATTTATGGTGAAGTTGTGTTCAGTAAGTGGATAGTTTGAAAATCCTTCTGAGGTGATTTTTATGTAGTGTCAAACTGAAGTATTTTAGTCAGTGATGGCACTTTCTATATATATATATATATATATATATATATATAAGAATTAGTTTTTCGGGATTCTATTTGTTTCAAGTTAGACAACGGATTAATATCAGTTAGAGAACCATTGAAAACCAAGGAGTACTGGACAGCTGTTTCATCCTAGTTTGGGAATCATTGGCAGTACACACCCACCACAGGTATTTGAACCCAGGTCCTTGCGGTTACAAGGCAAGCTCGTATACCATTCAGCCACTGGGACTTCATTCAATGGCCAGCCCATGAATTCTAACTTCTACCAATTCGTGATTTTAGCACGACCACCAACCAATGTCATCGGCGGGAACTCCATCCTCAGTCCTGACTGGATAGACCTTACTGGTCGCAAACCAGGACGAAACAGCTGTCCAGTACTCCATGCTGGTTTTCAATGGTCCTCTAAATGATATCAATCTGTGGTCTAACCTGAAACAAATATATGTGTATATATTAGTGCATACTCGTTTGTTTCAAAAGAATGCTGTTCAATGGAATTATATTCCCTGTAACTGTTGTCACTAATGCAATTAGTAAATTAATTAATTATATTATATAACATAACGTACAGAAATCACTGGAATTTCTCTTTCATGTTTTTCACACTTATTTTTCAAGAGAAACACTACACTTTCTAAAAAAATCAATTTCAACACTTTGTACAGAAGAATATTTCTTACCACCAGTCTATCTATCAAATCGCCCTTCAAACTTTCCAAGTTTGAAGTATTTATGTATAGAATCAGATTACTATCCGAAAAATAGAACAGTGCGTTAATCAAGTATACTGTCCCTGATATTATCTTATCCAGTCATTCGACTTATCCGAACTATTATAAACGTCAGCAAAAGTAGTGTGCTTGAAGGTGAGAACAAGTTCACAAACAAGATGACGAAGGTTTGGTATTAAAGATCCAGCAACAATGAAAGCCACGCTTAGACTTTGGGACGTTTATTTTTTTTGTTAGTACATAGTCATATCTGAGAATCACACTACTGTTGCCGATGTTTAACTTCATTATTATATTCAGCTTCTAATTTATTTAAAAAGTGGTACTGGCTTATTCTACTGCAAGCGTTGAAAAATGTTTGCGTAATTGGTAGATATTTTGAAGACACAATACACTTAAAGTGCCTCACATTCCCTTGGACTTTAAAATCTCCCTTGTTAATCCTTCTTTCACTTCAGAAAGTCATTAGAATTTATAAGCGATTAGATTACTTCTTAGAGGGTGAAGTTTTATTGTCAGAAAACATTGTGAATAGACACAGCAGTGGAAATAATGAAAAAGTGCTATGTGTTAAATTTCATTAAAAGACAGTAGGCTCTTCACGCCTAGTCTTAAAAATCAGTTTCCTTATAGCCAATTAGATTTAAAGAAATTATTCAAGGCTTTCATCTCTTACTCAAGTTAATGAGCATATGAAGTTTCATAACTTTTGTCTACTTGACATCTTATCTCAAGTGGGTGAGACTGTCTTTATTAAATTATGTAACAGTGATAGAGGGATCCACCAAGTCAGGTAAGGAGACAGTTGCTCACCGATAACATCGACTGACTGTTTTGCTATAATACCACGTACTGGCAGAAGTTGGAATTCATGGTTCACTGTATTGCTGAACAGACTACGAGTTTGCCCTGTAACCAGAAGCTCCTGGGTTTAAACTTCGTTGGGTGCTACTACTGAGGAGTCCAAAACTAGGACGAAACAACTGCCCTGTACTGTCCGGTTTTCAGCTTGTGATGATACCTGTGATAAAATTCTAATTTTATAGATGAATCCGGAATTAAAAGTAGGTTACCTACCAAGAAAAATGACAATGTTCAAAAAACAGCACCTGTAATTTTTCTAGCTTCTTCGAAGTTTACTTATTCAACTAAAACTTGACGTAGAAGTATTCATTTTGGCTGAAAGCCACTATGCTTCTTGATGTGAATGGTTTCCAGCTGCTTATATCGATCAGTCATCTATACTATGTCGCCGTATAAATATTTTGTTTCTCAAAAGTTGTATAACTCAATGGACTTATCTCAGCACTATAAAAAAGATATTATTATTATTATTGTTCCCTTGGGTTCCTAGTGGAACATAGGGCTTCAACTGCACGTCTCCACTTGCTTCTGTCTTCTGCTGTTCTTTTCACTTGCGTCCATGTTATTCCATATTGTTTCATCTCCTCCTCACACGATCTCCTCCATGTCACCCTTGGACGTCCCACTCGCCGCTTCCCTTTCGGGTTCCACTCGAGGGCTTGACGCGCGATGTCACTCAACGGCCTCCTCAGCGAGTGTCCAATCCATCTCCACTTCCTCCTGCATATTTGTTGAGCGATTGGTTCCTGTTTCGTTTGTTCCCATAGCTTCTTGTTTGTGATTCTTTCTGGCCATCTAATCTTCAGTATGGAGCGAAGACAGTTGTTGATAAAGGTCTGCAACCTGTTGAAAATATTCTTGGTGACCCGCCAAGTTTCTGATCCGTAAAGCAAAATTGACTTGACGTTTGTATTGAAAATCCGAATTTTGTTGTTGATGGTGAGTGACGAAGATTTCCAGATTGGTTTCAGGTTGATGAATGTGTTTCTCGCCTTCCCGATTCTCGATTTGACATCCTCGTCCGTTCCTCCTGTGGTTGAGACAATGCTCCCCAGATAAGTGAAAGAAGTAACCTCTTTCAAATCCCTCCCGTTGATCGTGATTGGCACTGGATGTTGCTGCTGTTGTTGGTTAGTTATTTTCATAACCTCCGTCTTGTCTATGTTCACCTGGAGTCCTGTCTTTGCTGCTTCTTCGACCAGTTTGTCGGTTTTTGCTTGTAAGTCTTCGATTTTGTGTGACATCAAACATAAATCATCCACGCGCGAAATCCAGGTCTTCTAGGTTCTTCACGTCGGTCCAGGATATCCCTGTCTTCTCGTTTCCCACTGTCTGACGCATAATCCAGTCCACCACAATTAGGAATATCATTGGTGATTTATCTTCACAATATAAACTGATCTGCAAGTTCATTGGTGAGATCAACTGAAGCGCTTTTGATTCTGATGAAGCTATACAAGTCAATAAAAGTATACTTTAGCGGAAGTACGCATTTTCAGTGGAACACACTGAAATTTCGCTGATATGCAGACACACTGAGTTCTTCAATTTTGAAAAAAAGTTGTCCTTTTTCTAAAAATGATAAGTTAATGATTGAAATTTATCTCCCTTGTTAATGATCACAAACAAAGTCGAAAACGGTGAATCACATGTCTATATTGATGAGCATTACTGTAGCTACTAGCAAATTGTCTCTGGGGGACTCGTACTTAAGTGTTTTGATGAAACTATCGCTCAAATAAAACATTTCCACTTGGAAGAATTTCAGATTTCCATTCACATAATTTACCTTTTGTTCTCAAATAATGGAGAGTGGTTGCTTAAGATTTAGTTTCCACCTACTTCAATTTGTGAACACTACAAAAGTAAGTGATTATTGAACAAGCGTTCAGAATATTCCTAATCATGAAAAAATAGCAATGTTATTGTTATGAACACTTACGAAATATCGAAACGACTCCAAGACTAGTTGGTGGAG